AAGCACCTAGCACAGTATTCAACCACATATTAATAGATGTTATTTTTCTTTCTCCTTTTTATATTGTGAGAAGCCTCCATGACTTCTTCATGGCCCTTTAAGAATACTTTTTGAGCAAATCAGGAGAAGAAAGTATTATTAAAATACCATATAAAACCTAACTGCATTGGCTAAAAAATAATCACACCATTTTAAGGAAAGAAATTTAGCTTCATCATACTTTAAGGGTCTTAAAACCTGGCTTGAGGTGCATGATTTAATTAGTAATACAACATAAAGTGGATTTTTCTGACCTCTTGAGCAAGAAGAGAATCCAGTTCCTTTTTATTCTTTAATAATAACCCTTATGGGATAATATAAATTGATTTTTATAGGGCACACATGAGAAAAATCACATACGTATTTAGATGCATGATGAAAGGAAGTATTAACAGTGTGGTCAAATGAATTCTATGTAGATTTTGTAATACATTTTGCCTTAAGTCTATGTATTTGTCTGTTTCTGTTGCTTATAACAGAATACCTGAAACTGGGTAATGTATAAAGAAATGAAATTTATTTCTTACACTTCAGAGACTGATAAGTCCAAAGACCGGGGAACACATCTGGTGAGGGCCTTGTTGGTGGGTGGTGACTCTTCACAGCTGTGCAGAATGAGGGTGTCACATGGCAAGAATGTGCTGAGCAAGAACGGGGGAAGCTTCTCACTTGCTCTCTTTTTACAGCCGTCAGAACTACGCCCATGACCACCCATTAAACCATCAGTGGATTGATCCATCACAAGGGTACAGTCCTCACAATCCAAATCACAAATCCAACTCTCAAAGGCCCCACCTTTCAATTAACATAATTGAATTTCCCACCCTCTTAACTCTGGTACAGTGGGGATTGAGTTTCAATGAGTTTGGGGGAGACATTCAATTCACAGCAGTTTACTAACTTTTAACTTAGCACTCAGTTAAATCGAAGGCATTTTTTTCTTTGTCACACAAATCCATATTTAAATAACTAGCAGCAATCATGATACTGCACCAAGCTAGCAAGTGTCATTACTTTCTACACTTCAGAAAAATATTTGTCTAAGATTCTTTTCTCTTTATAATACTCTGCCCACCTTCTCTTCTTCCTGAACTCACCATTAAGGATTAATTCTTGCATGTACTCTGAATTTTGAAGAAATATCCACATTTTTTTTTTAACCACATATGTTTTGGTTTCTGGATATTTCACACTAATGAAAACCCCCTGTGCATTTGCAGTAAATAAATCTTTGAATTGCTAATTGTTTCAGATTAACTCCATAGATCTTTAGCAGCTGTCTTTGTGGCATTTTCAGCCCACGAATTCAGTCTGCTTATTTCTGGGACTTTAATCACAAACCGTACACTGGGACATAAAGCTCGGACTCCCTCGCGGGTAGAAGGATAGAAGCATCTGTGCACCCACGGCCTCGTGAGGGGCATGTCATTGTTCCTCTCCTCTCTCCTTGTGTTAGTCTTCTCGGGCTGCCACAACAAAATACCACAGACTGGGTGGCTTAAACAACAGAAATTAATTTTCTCACTGTTCTGGAGGCTGGAAAGTTCAAGATCAAGGTGCCGACAGAGCTGAGTTCTAGTGAGTCCCTCGCTCCTTGGCTTACAGACAGCCACCTTCTCACTGTGTCCTCTCATGGCCTTTCTCCTGTACCCACACCCCGAGAGAGAGACCTCTCTGGTATCTCTTCCTCTTTTTATAAGGACACCAGTCCTATGGAATTAAGGACCCACATTATGACTTCATTTAACCTTGATTACATCACTAAAGATCCTATCTGCAAATGCAGGGCATAGGGCTTCAACATAAGAATTTGGGGAGACACAAATGAGTCTATAGCTCACCTTAAGGACTTTGCCACATAGCTCCCATTCAACCCTTCTCCCCTTCTCCCCACGAGCTCCGTGCCCAGGGACATGGATCTCCGTGGCCTCTCTCTGTGGACTCCCAGGGCCACCGGCCTCTGATGGGGTTTGACCAGTGAAGTATACTGGCAAGAAATGGGAGTGTGGGAGGAGGAGATTGGGGTCTCTGTATGTGCTCACCTGGCCCCCTCCCTGCAGAGCCAGTATCTGTTGACATGTCCCCTGACCAACTCCTATTTGTCCCCACAGATCCAATGACCCCTATCCCCATGTCTCTTCAGGCCTGGAAGTGGTTACTAATGCTACCCTGTCCTTGGGGTTTCCCTTCACCATGCTTAGTCGTAAATTGATTCCCTCAAATTGTCTGTTTAATACNCAACCCTTCTCCCCTTCTCCCCACGAGCTCCGTGCCCAGGGACATGGATCTCCGTGGCCTCTCTCTGTGGACTCCCAGGGCCACCGGCCTCTGATGGGGTTTGACCAGTGAAGTATACTGGCAAGAAATGGGAGTGTGGGAGGAGGAGATTGGGGTCTCTGTATGTGCTCACCTGGCCCCCTCCCTGCAGAGCCAGTATCTGTTGACATGTCCCCTGACCAACTCCTATTTGTCCCCACAGATCCAATGACCCCTATCCCCATGTCTCTTCAGGCCTGGAAGTGGTTACTAATGCTACCCTGTCCTTGGGGTTTCCCTTCACCATGCTTAGTCGTAAATTGATTCCCTCAAATTGTCTGTTTAATACAAGACGTCCTCTCTGGAAGGGACATTTTTAGGGCAGCATCAACCTACTATCCTGTGAACCCAGGGCTCTCTTGACCTCTACTAGCTCTTTTTTTGCCCCAGAGAAGACCATTGTAAGGGTTAATGGCTCAGGCTTTGGCTCCAGTCAGATTTTAAGGTCTGGCTCTGGCATTAGTGAGCATTTCTGAGACCTAGTTTGCTCATCTGTAAAATGACAATAATATGGACATGGATTGTGCAGAAAAATGTGTGCACAATGCTTCACACATAGCAAGTTTCTAGAATGTTCTGTTGACTTTAGTGCACAGTGGACCCTGTATGGGTAAAACTCTTTTTGATCATAATGTAAAAAAGTATCTCTTAAGAGTTGGCCCTCTGTTTTCCCTTTTAACACAGTAATTAGTTTGTTTCTGTTTATAAAAATAATACATGGTCATGGACGGTTGCTATAAAAAAAAAAAAAGAATAAAATTCTTTCCTAATCTTACCAAACAGGATATCTTCTGTTACACTGTCACTTTACGTCACTTTACACGTGTAACTTAACACACATACATTTTTCCTAAACTGAGACCCTACTGTATCATTTTGTGTGCTACATTTGTGACTGCATCATGAATACAAAAGTACTTTCTGGGTGTTTTCTTATTCCATATTCTTTAAAATTAAATGACTTTTTAAAGGTCTTTTAGTGGATTTTTATACATAGGCATCTAGTCATAATTTTGCATAGATCTATTGATGTGATTGTACCATCTGTGAGTTTCTACTGCTTTGTGGTTTCTAATCTATCATCTGTTATGCTGCCGTTGAAACCAGGAAGGTTTCTGCTCAATCTCGTGTGTTCTGTTGACCTGCCAGGTGAGGCCCGGCGTGACTGTGCTTTTTGCCCACGACATAGCTCTTCCATGTCTGATATAGAAAGGAAAAACGTGTGGACGATGAATTGGAACATGCTTCCTTCTCTGCTATGTTGTTCTGTTCCTGGGGTCCAAATTTGAGTCAATCACCAGAGTTTCTCAGTCTGACCGCATAATTCCTGCTGCGGATTGACAAAGCATTGAACGAGGGTCTTAATTAAGGATGGCTTGGTGATTTTTGCATCCTTCTCTATGTTTCATGAATATTTTGATGAGAAACTGAGAGATGGTAAACTAGGTTCAGCTGTCTAGCAGCAATAGCAACCATAAATTCATCCCCCTCTCTCTTTATGAATTTTTCCTGTTCCTGTGTAATCATATTGCATTTTTCCAAGTTGAAGGACAAACAGAAATCTATGTTCAGGTCAATCAAATCAAGTCATAAATATTCTGTTCCTTGAGGATTCAAGGTCAGGGAGAGTTTATCATGGATGCTCCAGATTTTTTGTTGTCTCTTTTTCTTTGGCTTTTTTTCCCGGAAATTCCAGGACAGCATCCCAAATACTTTTCCCTCCACCTATGATTAGAAAGTTAGGGCCTAAAAGAAAGCGGCTCAGATATAACCAGCTAGGGTTCTTACTTTTGAATTAAAACATGATGGGTTTAGCCTAGATTTCTTCCAACGTGACTTTTAGTTTTAAAATGGTAAAATTTCTTTGGGATTCAGCTGTAAATATTTCCAGAATTACTTTTCACTGTGTCTTGTTTCTCTGTTTTCTCCTGAAGACCTCACCTAATGGAACCAAATGGTCATTTTACTTCATACTTGTGTTCTACTTTGCTCCTATTTCTTTACTATTTAGGACCTCATGGAAGTCTTTTAGTATCTTGCTCTTTGCTACCAAGTTTTGGCATAAAGAATGTGACTCCATCTTCTAGCTTTGTAAGAAAAAGTTAATGGATCTGGTTGAAAAGGTATCTATGGTCAATTATGTTTGGAAATTACATTAGACTATAGTACATTCTTAGAATTTTGCGATGAGCTTTTGTAATGAAGAAGCTTATTTAATTTTTTTTAACTCAGTGCTTCCCAAACATATGTGATCTTGAAATCCTTCTGTGTAAGGTAGCATCCATTAACATCCCTCAGTAATTAGTGTCCACACCTGGCATGGGGGAGGTGGTTCTAGAAGGAAGCTCACAGGGAGTATTGTGTCAACCTCACGGGGCTGTTAAATAATTCAATCTGATTCATATGCAGCATTTAGAATTGTGCCCAGTCCATAAATATCAGCCATTATTATCATCATTATTGGTGACATCCAATATGAGGCTCTCGTTGCTTCTATGACTGTTTTAATTTATAAAAGCAATTGCTCTTAGCCCCCAAAAGTCCAGCATGTCATAGTAGCATCCTCGTTGATTTGATCTCTCCATCTAGAGTCTGTGATGCTTGTCTTTGCATGCCATCCATCAGCTCTGTCTGTTTGTGAACAGGGGCGGAGAGGCCTCGGCTCTGTGTTTGTCTGGGCATCGGGAAACGGCGGAAGGAGCAAAGACCACTGCTCCTGTGATGGCTACACCAACAGCATCTACACCATCTCCATCAGCAGCACAGCAGAAAGTGGAAAGAAGCCCTGGTACCTGGAGGAGTGTTCGTCCACGCTGGCCACAACCTACAGCAGCGGCGAATCCTACGATAAAAAAATAGTATGTGACGTTTACATGTCTGTCACTATCTATTTATTTAACATTCATTTTGAAATACAAAGGGTAAACCATAAATATATCTGCACAAGTAATATATGGAAATAGAAAGTCAGATTAGCTGATGGTACTTCACACAGGTAGTTGTAAATGTTACATTTCTGTCACCAATTCATTGAAAATTCTTGTCTGGATCATTACATTTCAGCATTTAACGTGGTCTTAGACATGATTAAGCTTTAGTGTTATTGAGGACAAATCATTGGTCTGCGCTCACATTGTGAATTAGTGGCAGAGAAGAGACTGTAACCAAAGTCTGACTCTATAGGTCCAGTGATTTTTATCACTCTTTTAACCCTAGCTTCAGTGGTTTGGTTTTCAAGTACAGTTAATTCAGTGTGAAAAATAAAAGTTTAAGGAAATTCGGAATTCTATTTAGTCTATACTTATTTAACATGAACCACAAAAGGTGCTTTTCAAATTTGCTGGATCAAAATGTGCTGGATCACAAGCACAGAGGGAGTTTGGAATCCCCTGTTTACCATGTCCTGCTCTCCAAGCAAACAGTCAAATGGTTATGAGTTAAGGTGCAGGCCCAGCCTGCATGAGTTTCTTTCATTCTTGAGCTATTTGCTAGCTGGGTATCTTTGGACAAATCACTTAATCTTTCTGTCTCAACTTCCTTAAGGGGACATTTAATAGAATGTAGTTCATGGAGTTAATATAAAGATAGAAAAAGCATTGCTAGCTGGGTATCTTTGGACAAATCACTTAATCTTTCTGTCTCAACTTCCTTAAGGGGATATTTAATAGAATGTAGTTCATGGAGTTAATATAAAGATAGAAAAAGCTCTTAGCACAGTGCTTGACCCATTGGTGCTGAAGAAAGCTCTGAGTTTTGGGGTACCCAGCACTGTGCTACTGATAATAAATTTCAGACACCTTTGCGCTTTGCTCTTTTCCTGATTGTGGTTTTATAAACTGTCTCAGGATTTGTCTTTCTAAAGTGGAGCTGACCTGCTGAACCTGACACTTTTTAGCACTTAAACAAGACCTTGCTTTCAGATCTTACAGGTCCAGGCAAGTCAGGCCTCTCTGCTGGTGCTACATCTGACTATTGCACAGCAGTGGAAAAACTACAGGGGGTGAACTAAAACCACCTACTTCGTGCAGTTCTTAATCCACATCCATTTGATTCCTCTTGACTCTTAGTTATTATATGATTTTTATGTTTATCAACTACTTTTTCCTACCTTCTTTAGTTACATTTTGTAGATTCATTTCAGTAAAAATTGCCTATCCGTACACATGTTCTCCCCTTTCCCTAATTCCTCCATAATGACTGGACTTAAAAATATGCACAAGTCCATCATTCTAAAACACAGAGTAAAATATAAAAGGAGAAAATGCAGAGATGAGCAAGTTTTGAAGTTTCTGGCTTTCTTAATTGTGACACCCCCGTGAAATTTTGCTTTTATTTTAGAAATGTTTTAATCTAGAAATATCCCTTTTGCTTTTAAATAGGAATACCTTGTGCCCCCTAGCTCATGGTCAATGTCCACTGGAACTGAATGATATTCATCAGTTCTGCATCATGAAATTCCTGATGAAAACTCTGCAATAAGAGTTCTTTTCTTGTACCTTTGGAGTCTGAAGGCATCTTGAGGCTAACTCACCACTGCTTCAAAGTAATTACTCCCATCTACTCAGTCCTGTTATTCCCTGTGGGGCAACCACTGTGGGAGGCTATTGTTAAGTTCCATAAATGCATTCTCTATGAGAAGCTTATAGTCTAATAAGCAAAATATCAAAGAAGGAAGGTTGCCCAGGTCCCCGATGGGAGAATACGGGGTGAACAGAGAGAACGCTGAATCAGTGCTATGAGACTTCCTCCCTGGACTTCCCCCTCCTGATCCCTTGTGTGATAGCTGCTATGTTTATTATTCTCCCATAGACAAATTGGTCCATTCTGTGGTCAGGAAGAAAGCTTGAGAGGGAAAAAACACCATGACTTAATGTTAATATCCTTTACCTGGGGTCATATACTTTCCTTTGCCTTATTTGCTGCTTCTGATCTCAAACCTTTACTGACCTACTCTGAATATTTAACTTTTACGTGTTTCTCCCATTTTTTTTTTTTTTTTTTTTTTTTGTCTTTTGTCTTT